GGGTATATTACAGTTAAATATTTAATTTAATATAATAATTATGAAATATAATTAATTAATTTAAAAAAAACTTGATTTTTGCATTTTTAAACTTTGGGTCCTGATTTTTGATTTTGGTAAAGTAAATGCCTGATTCATAAATTTTTCCCTTATTCTTTTGGTGAAATTGCTCTAACCTTTGTTAACTTTAATGGATAGTAATTGTTCTTTTGGGCCTTCTACAATGATCTATATCCAGCCTATTCTGCTGATCTCTATTTATTCTATTTGGGCCATCTCCTTCAGTCACAAAAGAGCTTACTAATGGACGAGATTGAAAAGCCTCATTTGGATCTTAGTGTCCGGGTTATATAAGCTTGAAAGTTTAATTGGTCCAACCTATCATTTTATTCCTCTTCGGTTGCAATGTGCTTGGAATCCCACAGAATACAGATAGAAAATGCTAGAACTGATATCTGATTAACTACGGTGATTTCATGTCTAGTCTTCAATCATGATATCTTAAAGCAAAAAAAAAAAAAGGAGAGGAAGGTTCAGGTTGTGACTTTGTACACAAGACATTGAGTTTTTTCTTCTAAATTTGGGCTCTCATTCTCCATCCTTCGTGATTTATGAGGCATGCCATTTCTATTCAAGATGGATTTCCTCCAGCAGCTCAAGATGCTGCTGCCGACAATCCTTTATTTTAAAATGGCATCATAAATCTGATGGCTTGGGTTCGGCAATTTTAGGAATATTCTACCCCAAAATAGAAGTCCATTTTGGCAATTACAATTGTGGCTAAACAGTTTTGAGCTACTATTTTGGTTGTTATTGGAGAAAATTTCAAAAGGAAAAGAATAATGCAGAACCAGTCGGTGGCATACTCTCGACGTCAACGACTTATAAAAATTTTAATTATTCCACTTTCATTCATATTCCTACCTCTTCATGCCTACAATTTTCTTTTACTCATTTCAATTGCTATCTGCCATTAATTCTATACTACATTTTACGAGGTTTTGCACCTGAGGCCTGCTTTGGTTGGGTTGCTAGTCACCAATGAAGCAAATGAGCGTACCAATGCAAAAAAAGACTATCAAGAATGATACAAAAAAAGAAAAATGCGAGATTGAGTGATCTTGAATCCAAGAAGCATGCCGGTCCCGTGAGTCGTGACAACGAAGGCTCCTCACATTAAGTACAGGTACAATAACCTTTTCTCACCTCTTTAATTGGATCAATGAATCCATCATGCACTTGGTCCATTCAAAAAGTCAAAAGATTAAAGTCCTTTCTGGGCAGTCCTTTTTGATTTGCTAAGTTGGGCTCATATATTTATTTTCTTTTGGCCCATGCTTCTAATTATTTTAAAAATATTCGGGCCTGTTGAATCTTTTATTTTAACCTTCGGGCCACTATAATTTTTATTGGGGAAATTAGGTCCAATACTT